CGTACTTCTTATGCATGTACTTTGGTATATCTCAAACTTTTTTTGTTAATAACTTTTTAATAAGCAACGAGCGACGATTAAATTAGAAAAAAAATGTTACTCAGAATTATGTCCTTGACAACATATATCAAGGTCAAGCTCATTGGGGCTGGGTCCCCTTTTCGCTATATTTACCTAAAATGTAATAAGAATACTGATTATATTTTTCCAAAAAGATTTTTATTTCTCTCCATCTGTTACATATTCAAACAAACAGTGCGCATGTTTCTGTGTACAAATGAACGGTGTCCAAACGAACGGTGGGCAAATGAACGGTGTCCAAACGAACGATGGGCAAATGAACGGTGTTCAAACGAACGGTGGGCGAATGAACGGTGTCCAAACGAACGTTGGGCAAATGAACGATGTCCAAACGAACGGTGGGCAAATAACGGTATCCAAACGAACGGTGGGCTAATGAACGGTATCCAAATGAACGGTGTGCGTCTTTCTGTGTCCAAATGAATGGTGTCCAAATGAACAGTGTCCAAGTGAGCAGTGTCCAAGTAAACGATGCGTATTTTCTTACGTGTCCAAAAGCTACTGTACTCAAAATTACTTTGTCCAAATGCACTGTGTCCAATTGAACCGTGTGCGAAATCTCGTGTCCATTTGTAACATGTCCATTTGCACCGTGTTCAATTGTACTGTGTCCAAGTGAAGGCCACTCTGTTACCACCACTCGATGGCACCTTTGAAACTATAAAACTTTTGTAGGAAAAAATTTTTCGTTACTATTCTAGACTCGAAAATATTCGAGGTGGCAAGAGTTACTGGTTCACCCTGTATAGTCCCTAATCATTCGAATATTAGATGACATCAATGTAAGAACCTTTATATGTACTAACAAAGTTACGATCCCTGCGAAAACTAGTAGGCAACAAATAATAGTGGAGACCCAGTGTTCTGCGATAGGCGGATACAAGGTGTTACAAAGACATAGAATCATATAAAGAAAAAATACCACTGGGTCGGGATGAAGGCCATCACTCAAACCAGAGATGCCTGCATTACAGCCGCAACAGCATCCTTACAGCCTGTGGAGGGGATAGGCTGGCAATTCACACAAAGCATAAGCCCTCGTCCGTGTGCTCAAGCGCACAAATTACTTAGTTTTATAAAAAAGAGTTATTATTTCGGATGCGAATGAGTGACACTTCTAAATATCAAAGCCGATCAGCGGACGTCTCAATATTATTCTCATGGTTCAGCCGAGAGAGCAAAAAATGTTTGTCGAAACTTGTCTGAAGTTTAACGACACATAATACACACTGCAGAGTGTATGCGGATATGGTCTGATACGTTAATAGACTTTGAATCCATTTCAGGCTACTCAAATCTCTTGTTGTCAATATTTTCACATAGGCGTGCTCTATTCGCACGTCGCTACGCCAATCTATGCGCAAGTACCGATAACTTCCTCATTGACCTTCCTTCAACACATTAGCCATTAGTCCTTATTCCAATTGATCCGCATAGAATTGCGAGAATAAATCGAATTTGAAAGCATTAGTCTCCTGGATGAAAACGTAACGCTCGTTTGCGATCTCGCGCCGAATGCAAGTCATGAATCCGACTAGACCTGCGAATGAAAAGTAACAAGTCCGGTGATAAATTCTCGAATAAAGCAAGAAAAAAAGATTATTTTTAAATAAATACTTTTAAAAATTAAAGATGTTTTTTTAATTTTATTATTACAAAAATTATTATACATATATAAACATGTGTATAAGTACATTTGTTTATAATTTTTTCTGTAATTTTACCAAGTAACTCTTAGCCTTGAGATATAAAAAGCATTTCTTGATTCTCGTTGTCGAATTTTCTCAACGTCGCTTTCGCATTTTCTAGCAATGAGAAATCTTTTCCTCAGATCTGTACTACGATCGGTTCTCTCTTCTCCCTTCGTGTTTTCAACAAGAGGTAACTTTTTTCCGAAGTGTCGATTTGTTTACCGACCAATATCAGATTTGCCTCTGTTAGTATTGTTCAAGTTGGGTCGTGACGGTCTCCTTTAGAAGAATAAAGCAACTGGAACTTAAAACGGCCGTCAGGTTTTTGAGAATGATGCAAGATCAGTCAGAGAGAACTTCCGCCGCTATGACGAGATGCACATTTTAAAATGGGAATGTATCATTCGCATCCCCTAGGTTAACATTAACGTTCATTTCATTGAAACTTGGGTAATAGTATGCGAAACTATCGGCCACCTATAAGTCAACCTAAAACAACAGAAATGATATGTTCACATTCATTTAGAACCGTGCATGTAAAAAAAAGACACGATATAATGAAATTTGCATTTATAGAAATTGTATATACATATTGAAAAATGTGTATCTTATATTGCGAATTTTTGCTCGAAACTGTTTATCCGAGATTTCTGTTCGCTTTCTGAAGTCATAACGACGTTCGTTAAAATTCTGTAGTGAATACTTACGGTGACTAAGTGAATACTTACGGTTCACTATGGAAAATATCGAGTAGAAGCGGCATCAAGAGGCTATTCGCGGCTCGATTGCTCGCGACTTCCACAGCCTTGATTTTTGACGTCGTTATGTTCTCACATACGATTTGTAACAGTACAGTGAGCGCGTGCATCTTTTCTCTCATAGGGTCTTCAAAGAGTAAGTTGCGCGGGTTTTCGTATGACACAAAAACGTAATGTTCGTACTTATGTCTAATTGCAATCTGTTGTCTCTAGGATGTGGTAGATTTTAAACCTTTCAATTCGAAACCGATTTGAATATCGATGTTTTATAATAATACACCGGCAATCCGTAATCCTTCGGTAATTCATCGACCAATCGTTTATAAAAAACGGGTTCGATCGCGACATATCGGATCTTCGATCCATACACAAATCTCCAATCGCTAGACAATATTTTTAATTGAAACATATCCATATACGAAGACCATTCGTGGAACTAGCGTAACTCGCCAACGGTGACGGAAATGTCACTGAATTTTATCCCTTTGAAAATACCATTGTATTCGTATCCGCACGGTCTCCATTCCTTATAAACATCTTCAGTGTTCAATAAAAGCTCGGTGGACAGCATCGGAAGTGAAAGCAGATCCAGCTAATCTTTCTCGATGGCCTCGGAAACGCGTATGTTTCCGCTGACGACAACATCATCAGCTTCGCGAATCTCGAAGTCGCGTTTTTCTTCAAGAAGAGTTATCAAAAACGTTTTTTTCTTCAGTAGAAAGGTAATGCGCTGGAACCACACGTTCTCGAAGATGACTGGCAGTCGCTCGAATTCGGTGTCGCGTAATTTCGCGAACATTTTCCAAACCATCAATATAAAGCCGACGGCCGAAAACAAGTCGCCCGTCGACTTTATGTCCCGTGCTCGAGCGCACACGGACAAGGGAACATGCTTTGTATACGTTGCCAGCCTATCTCCTCCACAGGCTATAAGCATGCTGT